TCTTAGACTCAATACCTTGAGCTCAAATGTCTCGAGCTCAATGCCTTGAGTTTAGGTACTTTAAGACAGTTTCTCAAGAGTAGGGCGAATTAAAAGGTAACACGATGAGAAGTCATCTCAAGGGAGGGAGATCAATAAAAATTCTATTTTTTTTTTAATTTTTTTGTGTGCTTTACTTTTTTATGTTTTCCTTTTCATTGTTTAAATCTGTTTATCCAAATTAAGCATTTGGAATTCGGGTTCTTAGTTGTTGATAAAATTCGATCGTTAACAATACACACATGCACATTTATTAGACATATGATGAAGATACACCGCATTCGTTATAACCATTCACCATCGAAAAAAATTGAAAAATATACACGCGCATTACGTAGCATTCGTAATAAACTGAAAAAGACTACAAAGCTTTTAGCTATTATTACAAACTCATGTGTGGAACTCAATCCTAGAGCCTTTCTCTCTATGTTACTCACCTAGATTTATGACTTTTCTTATTATCAAACATATTCAAAAAGATGGATAGAGGAGGAAAGGCCAGCCTAGGCCATAGCTTTTTCGGCAGAGTTTTTTTTTTCTTTTTTTTTTTTTTTTTCAATAGAAGGAACTAAGTAAAAGTAACGACTTTTCAGTTTCTAGTAAGTACATTTTTAAACAAGCTTAATGGGGGAAACAATTTTCAAATTTTTTAAGAATAACACTCAAAACACCCCTTATGTTTTGTCAAAATACTACTTTCATTCCTTTTATTATGCAAATATCCAAAACACCACATGTGTTTATAAAAATAGACCTAAAACACCCTGGAAGCAACTAAAATTTTTAAAATACTAAGATTACAATTTAAAACATTTTTAAACCAAAATGTCAAATAAAATCAATCTTAAAAAATAAAAAACTCCCAAAATATTTTAAGTATTTCTTTTATTGGAATATTTATTTGAGCATTTTTTCAAAAAATTTATTTAACATTTTAGTTAAATCATATTTCAAATAGCACTTAATATAATTGGAAAGGGTAATAAAAAAATTTCAAAAATTTAATTGCTTCAGGGGTGTTTTGGGTCTGCTTTTATAAACACATGGGGTGTTCTGGACATTTACATAATAAGAATGGCGAAAATGATATTTTAACAAAACACAAAGGGTATTTTGGGTATTTTCCCTTCTAATTATAAGAAATAAAAGTGCTAAAATAAAATTTATAATGCCTTAATGAGACTCTACTACAAGTTTTAAAATCCATTCAAAAGTACTTCTTTAAAAGTCTCATTTTGTGACTTTGACTAGAAGCTCTTTCAAAAAATCAAGCACTTCTCACACATTATCTAAACACTTTAAAAATAGGTTTTGAATTCATGAAATCAAAATAAGCTATTAAAAAAATCTCCCAAACAGGTCTTTAATTTGGCACATAGGTAAAGTTATGCCACAAGGGAGCTTACATAGATTATTAGGAAAAAAAATAAGGTGTACTTCAATTTTTCGATTCGAGTTTTTAATTCTAATTTGTTACAGTTAAATGCTCTCACAAAAAGTTACATCTATCTTCTTTTTACTACAGTTAAAAACTCTCACAAAAAATCACATCTTAACTTGAATTGAAAACTCAAATTGGAGAATTGAACAAGGCCTAAGATAACTTTCAAAGCAGCCAAAAAAAAAAAAAAACTTTTTGAAAGATCTCTCATGTATATCACTGCTAGCTACCCCGATTCGAATCATGGTTCATGGGTCGCTACAATATTTTTTCTCATAAAAAATACATGTAAATCGAAAATAATTTTAATCTTATAATTTTAATCATGAACCAAACGTCTCAATAATCTTAACTAAAAACAAGGATATGTACATTACAATAAAAAAGAATAAATAAATATAGGATAGGGCCAAGAGTACATGAGTCGGCCCGAGCTAGAGAAATAAGAAATAAAATGTACAAGTATAATATATACTGATAGTGGGGATGAATACGTGAGTTAAGCACCTATTAATGTACAAACATCTATAACTGTCATTTTCCTACTATAATAAGCAGGGTTAATTACTTGTGCTTTTCTTAGGGGAGAAAAATATGCCAATCTTGATAATTTATCTTTACGGAAAAAAATCTTAAAATAAAGGAGAATATTCTCCAACTATATATAAATATACAAGGTTAAGAACATGTTTCGCCAATTCATGACCAGCTTAGATTGCCGCACGGCGGATATATGACAAAATGACGCTCCCCAAAAGAATGTCTGCAGCAATATTTCCCAATGTACAAAAAAATATTAGTCACTTCTGTATATTAATATATTATTTAATTTCTCTAGGACACATTTTGTATAATGTATTATATTATCTAAATTAATATAGCATTTAATGAAATTTGTATATTGTACAATTTAACACCACTCTTAAAATTAATACAATTCATATTGGCTATCTAATATAGAAAACTTAATCAAAGCCAGGGATGTAGCCAAGTTCTCTATATTTACATAAGCATATCTTTAAAAAATTAAACAAAGCTCCCTCTAAAAAATTAAAACTATAATTTAATACCCTTTAAATTTTTTACTGTAATTATTAGCCCCCTCTCACAAAAATTATTGGCTTCATCACTAATTAAAGATTTGGATAAAAGTCAAGGTCCGAGACCAGGGATGAGGTTCAAGACCAGGATTGGTGCAACGGTTGAGATTGAGGTTAGAGGTTGAGACCAAAACAAGGATTAAGTTTTAGATTAGAATCGGGGTTAAGGTCTAGAACCAGGACTAAGGTGACTGGATTGAGACCAAGGTCGTTTTTTGATACTGGTGTTAAGGTCCAAGACCTAGGCTGACATTCTAGACAATAGTCGGGGTTGGGGGTCTTGGAATGGAGAGAGGACGTGGCCCCGAACTTGCACCGCTATCATGGTCTAGATTTGGGACTGAACTCGAGCTTCTAGACCGAGTCAAGATCGAGACTCGAGGCTGAGGTTGGGTTCGGTCAAGAACCAATGTCAAATTTGGTGCCCAAGACCATTATTGGGTTTGAAACGCACATCTGGGTTGAAATGTGTATTTTGGTCCAACTACTATTTTTTAAGGTATTACTTCTTTAAATGTATCTAATTAAAATTAATTTTCTCTAATCTTCCTCTATTAAAATAATTGCTCTCAAATATGTCTCATGTTTTTTTTTTTCATATAGACTGTTAAAACATTATTTTTCAAATGTGTCCTTTATAAATACTTTATTGTTACCCTATGAAAACATTTTTTCTCATGTGTGCCCCTGCTTAAACATCTTTTCTCAACCCTCTCAAATATTTTTTTTTTCTCATATGTATCCTCCTTAAGTAAATTTTCATTCTAAGTTTTCTTTACTAAAATCTCTTTTTTTTTTTTTTTGAAATGTACCTTACTAATAAATACTTTTTTAAAATATACTTTGTTTAACATTTAACTTATTTTATCTTCCTTTTTTTTTAACAGGTTTAGCTATTATTGTTTCTTTTCCTCTCCAATCACTTCATTTTTATGCGAGAAAATTATAGATTCTACATTCTTATAAGTACCTGACTTACTAAAAATACTCATTTTATAAAACTCTACTTATTGACTAGTTATAATCTAAAAGGTAAAAATATATAGACTAATATTAAGGAGTATAAATAAAATGGGCTCTATTTCAAGGGATATTCTTATATATTGCCCTTTCTATGCAATTACTCTTATTAACTTTTGTCACAAGCTTTGCTTACTCCTAAAAATTTACTGGCGTGAACAAATTTGTTCATCGATTAGATTGTATAAATTATTCGAAGCAAGTACAATTTTTGTTTTTTCAAAAAAAGAAAAATAAACCTTTTATAAAATTTTAGGTGAAGTTAGTTAAGCACATGTTTCATGTTTTATTTTTGAAATTTTGTTTCCGTATTAATTAGCTACAGTTCTGGTAAACTCTTAAAAGAATAAGAAATCAAGAAAAGGAACTAATATTTAAAAATTTAACATCTGAAAAAAAAAAAAAAAAAAAAAAAAAAAAAAAAAAAAACCCTTGTGTCTACTTACTAGTCAATTTTTTTTTTAAATAATATAATAACAAATAAAAGTATGTTCCGCTGGTGAAGAGTGATTGCAGAACAACAACGAAGACGAAGAGATCCTGTCGGGCTACGAAGGCTAGATGTAATGAGGCGGCTGGTGGTTGGAGAAACAAAAAAACAGGATAGCTAAAGACCTAAAAACTTATTTGTCTTACTTGTTTTCTTTTTCTAAAATGATACTTTACAATTGTCTGTCACTCAAATTACAACTAGTGTATCGCTGATTGTCGAGTAAATTAATGCCAAATATTAGTTGGGAAAAATTTTATTTTGATATCTAGTGTTTTAGTATAATTATCTTTTAACACCTTGTGTTTTAATAATTTTAAATTAATAACTTGACGTTTTAAAAAATTATATTTTAATATTTTGAAATTATTTTTTAAGATGTAAAATATTAAATTTATCATTCTCATTACTTTATTAAAAACTAATAAATTAAGAAAAAATTCATATAAAATTATTTTTAATTTAAAGCATTATGCTTTTTTTTTAAAAAAATTTAAATGTTTAAAAAAAATTCAGAATTTTTTAAATTTATTATTAATTTTTTTGTTAATTAATGAGAAGGGTAATTTTGATATTTTACCTTCTAAAAATGACCTTAAAGTACTAAAAATAATTTTTTAAAACGTCGAGGTACTAATTTAAAATTACTAAAAATATATTAATGGTTTGCCACTAAGTCAATTAGTTATAGACCACCAAATCTAACAATAATAGTCGAAACAAATTGTGATCGACCAATCTATCTTTCCAAAACTCAAGAGATAAGTCGGAGTAGCAAATATCTTAAAATTCCTCAGCTATAACAGTTTTTTTACTTGAGATTAGAAAGGAAAATAAAAGATAATAAAGTTATCTAGAAAACTAGAAAGAAAATAAAATAAGGAGAAGCAAGCGTTTATTTGAAGCCCTACATCTAATGTTCTTAACAGTACTATTTCTTACATTAAACTCTTAATAACAAAAATCAACTCTAAATTGTAATGCTGTAAATTGGTTCTTATTAGGTTCTTTACACAGAAGCCAAATAAAACTTAACACGAACTCAAAATTAGGCCTAATTTGTTTGCAAAACACGTACACAAACAACATTTCATGTACATGGTATGGTATACCTGTGTTACAAGATGTGAAGATATTTCAGCCACGCTAAAGATGAATACGTAAATTACATAAAAGAATAAGGTTCAAAATAAATTCTCCTGTGCGAAAACAAAGAAACTTTCACCACCATCCATAGCTATCGGATAGCATTTTACAGAAATACCAAGAGCAAATGGCACATTCTGCGTTCGAACTAAAACTTATCCAGCAAACATGAAAATGCATACCTACTTCTTTTCTTTCTCGCTTTCCTCATCTTCCTCGTCGTAGTATTCTTCATCGTCATAATAATATTCCTCTTCATCATCGGTCTCATCATCATCGTAGTAATACTCCTCATCGTCAATGTCACCCTTGCCATTTTGTAGCAGATGTTTCCAGTCTCTTGATTGCTGCCCCAAGCGCTCTTGAATTCGTTCCCTGATGGCTGTGCCCTGAGAAAGATAAAAACTGGGCCATTAGGACTCCAGAAATCCAATGAGTGAAAATTGATGCTATGCGTAATTTACCATTTTGTGGCAGCCTTCTTCAAACATCTCTAGAAACCCAGCAACCAACCGATCAGCATTTTCCACCCACTCATTACGATGCATGCCCGCAGTTTTAGCAACAGTTTGAATCTAAAATAGAAGGCAAGAACATACAGAAATCAAACACATACAAGAATTAGAGCTTATTATCAACAAGCATACAGAAGATATATATACATACATATATATTAGCTATTATACATATACGTGTATAGTTCGTTCAACAGTAATTAAAAAAAATTGCCATATGATTGTTGTCACTCAAATTAATCTCTGTTTCTTTTGCTACAAATACAATTGATGTTCTTTACTACCTCAGAAAGAATCTGTTAGGAACGTTCGGTTTGGTAATGTGCATTCCAGGAGGCCCAAGAAGGGCCCAAATACCTAAACTACAGGTGTCACTTGATGATTGGTCACATGGGAAATTCTGTTAGTGGCCTAACTAAATCATGAATAAAAGAGCTAGATGCTAGGAGTGAGGTAGGGAATTAGTAGGTGGAGGTAGCAGCGCCTCGAAGCTGTGGGACTTGTAATTCTTTTGCTTCCATAGCTAATATCAGTTTAGAGCTTTGAGACATTCTCAGCTCTCCTTTCTCAATTATTCTCTTGTGTTTGGTTAGTTTTGGTGTGTGTTAGCTGCTAGGAATTGTTCATTGTAGGTCGGTACCCATCAATATGGTATCAGAGCCTCGATACCTGGATATGGGAAACACGAGAATGGAGGGAAGCCTTGATATCGTAGAGAAAAACCTGAGCGCTATTGAAGAGGAAATGACGAACTACCAGACCGACATAGCGGCCATGTGAGAAATGATGCTCAAGATGCATATCGGGTTCTCGCAGTTGCAGGACATCGTTGTTGCAAAACTGACAATGGAGAAAGGCAAGTTGCAGGCATAGTCGTCCTCATCCCCAGGAGTGACCGGAGGGAGTTCCGCAGAGGATCGCGAGGGGGGTGATGAGGGGTATTTCTACCAACAAATCAAGTACTTTTAAGCTTGAATATTTGTAAGTCTTCAAGCATTTTTGTTAGTTTAATGTCTTTTGTATGCTTTTTATAGGAATTATAAATAAATGCGAACTTGGATGATCTTGCATGAAGAAAAGAAGAATATTTGCCCAACTTGTTAATCAATGGCAAGAGGAGGCGAAAGAGGATTTTAGGGCACAAAAGAGAGCCACAAGTCAGAATGGGGCGCGCGCCCGCGCCCTGGCCCGCTGCGCGCCCACGCCCGCGCGCAAGAAGCTGTCCCGCGCGTTGCAGCGCGTCCAATGGGCGCTGCAGCGCGCCCAAATGCTGCTCGGCGCGCCTCGTCCAAAAACGCGCGCCGCAGTGCGTTTTCACACAGGCTGCAGCGCGCGTATGAAACCCTAGCTCCGAAATATTGTAGTATAAAAGGAAATAGATGCCACTTGAGAAAAGGGAGCCCGAAAATCTGAAGAAAACATCAAAAGGAGACTGAAATCCTTCATCTTGGAGGTCCTTGGAAGTTCTTCAATGGATATTGGGTTTTATCTTCTTTCATCTATTTTTCCATGTGAGCTAGACATTAAATCTAGGACTTGATGTAGTTTTATTTGAACTATATTTTGAATATTTTGTTGATTGTTAATTTAATTTCGTTTTCAATTCATTTATGTTTCTCTATGCTTAATGCTTCTAATTTATCTGGCCAATGAGTTAGATGATTTTTAGATTGCGAATTTGATGCTCGAGAGAGATTGAGTTCTTTATCTAGATTTGAGAAACATAGTCTAGGTTGTTGTGAGACCGAGAGGAGATCAACGGTTAGATAATCAAATTAGAATTTAAGTCGTTGTGAGGCCGAGAGGCGATCAATATTCCTATTTTCTAATTCTAAAGGCGAAGCTTAATTTGTGTTTAAATAGTCATTTCGAATAGGGATATTGTTTTGGGTATTTAATTACAATTTCTTGTGAGGCACTCGAGAGAGGTTGCGAGATGACATTAGAGCCTTGATTAATGAATTGAACGGAATTGATTAGCGATTACATAATATGATGAACATAGGAATAATAAAGCGAAATCAAGTCCCTAGACCATTTGTGTATAGATACTTTATTTTTATTCTTATATTTATTTTGTGTTTGTTCTCAATTATCATCTTATTAGGTTGCCTAGATAAAGTTAAGTTACAATAATCACGGTACTTAACGGCAATTCTAAACCCAATCCCTGTGGAGACGATACTCACTCACCATATACTCAAAACTTGACACCGTACGCTTGCGAAAATTTATTATACAAAAAAAAAATATTACAAGTTTTTGGCGCCGTTGCCGGGAATTGGCATTTTAAATTGTTGTTAATATTGTGAGTACATAACTTGATTTTAATTTAGGCTTTTATTTCTCATTTTTAATCTTTTGTTTTATTTTTGTTTTCTTTTGTGTTATGAGGTACTTGGAGATGGTTGATCGACAAGTCCTCTTAAGATTTGCTCAACGAGACTCCGAACCATTTTTTAGTGCTTGGGAGAGATACAAGGAGCAGCTCATTCAGTTTCCCGACCATGGTTTCCCGAGGGAGGTGCAACTACAAATCTTCCTCGACGGGTTAGATGCCGCAACAAGAATGTGAGTGGAAAGAGGAAATGGTACCATCTCCTTTCACCAACTATCCGTGGATGAAGCTTATTGGTGGTTGGAAGACATGGCCAATGTTAACTATCGGTATGGGAGGTCTTCAACAAACCACCACAGTTTTGAGGATAGCTCCAACATTTCGGAGCCATGGCTTGACACCCCCCGTCACCAAGCAGAGTTTTCTACCTCACTTGAAGACCTTGTCGCTCAATTTTCGGAGGAGACAAGACTCCGCATAGAGAAGTTAGAGAGGATGGAGGCGCTCGACCAACTTCACGAGGAAATGAAGACAAATCTAGCAGAGTTGTTTAGGTTGAAACTGCTTCCAGATGAATCTACTAACGCCATGAATAGAGAAACACAAGAGGAGGATTGAGAGTTATTTGAAGATGGCTATTTGAAAGAGGAGGAGACTCAAGAATTGGTTAGTGAAAATTTTCAAGAAGATGTTAATGAGTCTCAATCCCTCGAGACCCCCATTGTCGTGCCACCCCCGGTTGAGAAAGATCACATTTATGAAGACCCAATGTGGCTGGCAACTCCCCCACCATCTAGTGCGCCGTTCTTCCATGCCAACCAAGCGCATATGCCGGCACCGAGTCGAGTTGAGCAAATGAGCCGAAAACTGCCAAATCTCGCCAAGCTTGAGGGTGTAAAGAATCAAGACCCGTACGTTGTGTTGTATGACACGTACTATGGGCGAAAGCCACTCTTTGAAGAGTTGGCTTGGCATAGGAATAATTGAGCCTAAAGATGCAATTTATGGAGGAGAGCCCCGCCCCAACCCGAGCTTATGCCATCATGCCCGGTACATCATCGCCAACCATACTAGGAGGCGAGATTGTCTCGCCTTCCCGGTACGTGTTCTTATTCCCTTATTATTTTTTTTAAAGATTGTTGGATATTGAGTTTGGGGGTGAGACACTTTGTGGTTGGTTTCAGTGGATTTTGAGCATTACTTGTGAGTTGGTTGTTATGACTTGTCTCCATTGAGTTGTGTTCTTTTGGTCATGTTTTTACTCGCTTTTCTTTTAGGTCATTTGAATAAATTGTGAGTTTTGTTGAGATGAAATGACTAGATAATAATGATGAGTATAATCACTTGATGCTTTCTTAGGTCTTTTGAAATGTATTTCATTGAGATTTCTGTGTGCTTGACTCGCATTGATTGAAATTCACTCTTGATTCTCTACTTTTGAGGACGTCTCTACTTTTGAGCACGTCTCTACTTTTGAGCACCATGAATCATGATCACTTGATCTTTTGAGTATTTGGAGAACATTTATGTGCATTAGGTAGACTTTGATATCTCATGAACATTAGAACCCATTTGAGTGAAACTTGAGGCGAAATTGTTGGTTTAGTATCATTGAAGAGAAGATTAAGGCATTTTATTTGGATCGATTGGGCCTTTGAAACTAACCCTTGAAAAGAAAATTCATCATTTGTTTACCCCCTTTGAGCCATATTGCTTATTTCGTTCATCACCCATGTTTGTACATCCAAACCACCAAATGCATTCTCACTTCCTAAACCCATCACTACTAGGCATGATTGCATTAAACGCTAAGATTGAGAGCAAGTGTGGGTTATGTTTGGAAAATCATTAGTGGATTGGCTCGTGTTGTTTTTCATTCTCTATTCAAAAAAAAAAAAAAAAAACACGAAAAAAAAGAGAAAAAAATAGTAAAATAATAATAATAATAATAATAATAAGAGTTAATCGGATGAGGAATTGAGTTACCATTTCCATTTCTTTACAACATTGGGGACAATGTTGATTTTGAGTTTGGGGGTGTGGTCTTTATTTCTCAAAATTTTGTGGTATTTATTTCTTTTTGGGTTCGATTGAAAGCTGGGTTCGATTGAAAGTGAATGTATGATGAAATGAAGAGTTGGTAAAATATTTTTTTTTTCTTTTCTTGGAAATCATGTGAGATCCATGAGTTGTGATACATGCCTAAGGTGACTTGAGCCAAAAAATTCAAATCTCATCCTACTTTTACCCTAGCCATATATTACAACCCTCAAAAGTCCTTTTGATCAATGACAAGTGAACCTTTATTAGTGGAGAGTGACACGAAAAATGGGCCTATGGTTGTTCTTATTAAGATATCACTCATAGTCTCCTTGACACATAGGTCTATTCGGATTTTATTTGGTTGATTGAGATTGATTGTGCACACTTACACTTTGAGAGTCTTGAGTGGAGTGAAATTGATGCTTGATGTTGAAATTCAAGATAATCTCAATGTTTGTATTTTTTTTTAGCTTAGAGCATTATGTGGCTTTGGAGATACATGCACAGTTGTTGACTCGATACGAAACTCAAACTTTTTTTCGTTTGTGTCTTAGTACTTGATTTGTGTTTTCTTTTTCTTTCTTTTCTTTTGCTTGAGGATAAGCAAATGTTTGAGTTTTGGGGTATTTGATGAGGGGTATTTCTACCAACAAATCAAGTACTTTTAAGCTTGAATATT